GGGGTGAATCCGACTTCTTTGCAATACTGCTCATATTGAACAGCAATTCGCTCTGGTATTAGACACCGAATCACATTTGGTACTTCCAATACATTACCGTTGGACAGGCGTAAACTCTTTTGACCAAAAGGCATATCTTGAACAATATGTGGGCTTGTAATGAACTGCAAAAAATGGTCAAGTTGCGCCTCGTCTATCCATATCCTCGCTGCACAGGAATGGGTGTCGCTACTCCGTGCTGAAGGCGATGTAAGTTTGCCACAGTGTATCTATACTGGGACAGACCGGGAATAAATTCTCGTATGGTAGAAAAACTTGCAGTGGGTGTCATAATTGAAAGGATTTGTCTCCGCGTGTCCCAGCTGCCGGAATTTGGTACGTTTCTGCTATGGCCTCGAGGTAAAGACGTTGGGATGGGAGCATTATACCCTCTGCACCAAGCTCATCATTGACAGCCCTTGTTGCTTGGAGTGCCGACCAAAGATAACCTGCATTTTCGGGGGACACCACCTTCAACACCGCGACGAGGATATCTCTAGTGTGTTGTATGCACCTTCGTTTTGTTCTATCAGCACTCTTTAACCACTCGAATTGTGGATTATCAACCCTTTTTAAGTCACACTCAGAAAGGAATTCATTAAGCAGCCTTAAAGGTTTGTTGGCACGAAGAACCACTTCACCGGAGCTAGTTGTACTTGTGGTTTCAGATGACCCAAAAATGTAATGTCGTCAAATGAAAGGTGTTTTACATTGTCACATATATCTTCTGTACTACTTGCCTCGGCTTCCTATAGGAGGGGAAAATATGAAAACTAATTAAAAGATCGCAAATTAACCCAGGATACTGATTAAACCTATAGACTGCCTATCTGTTTAAATGACAATTACCAATAAAAACGTTTCCTGTTTTTTCTGTACGGACACGGGTTCAACAACAACTGTTGGTGACGATAAGGCAGTTTCTGTAGAGTCCGCAGAAGTAGATACCATCATTTTACCCAGATGATCCCTGCATTGCCTGCAAATAGCTACAGATCAAAAAGAAACACAGAAGAGTTAGGCATGGATAAATTAGCATGGTAATAGAAGCGGTGGTATTCTAAGTCCTTCTCACTCATTAACGCTCACTCGTTCTTTAAGGTAACCTACAAGGGGATATTTCGGGGTGGGAACCCGGGAGAATAGGGGGCAGGAGAGGAAATCACGCAACGATGCTTTTAAATATTTCGCAATCAAAGAATGGATAAGGGGCGGGAGCCAGGAATGCAAGATACTCGTACGGAATGCAGCAGGTGACCCCCTGTTCCACCCCTATATGGCTCGGTCGGCTATTTGCTCCGCAGGAGAATTTCCAACGATACTTTAGGCAAGGAGAGAGACCACTGAGTTAATTGTCTGTAATATCGGCCGTTTGTTGGTGTTCCTCATCCTCTTGGGCACATTGTGTCCATTTCATTTGTGAAAGAGGGTCAAAGCAATAAGATTGTATTAGATTAGTTTTACATAGTTCTCCTACTAAAGTAATGTAAGGTTTGACTACACTTATGCGACCCAACTGGGACGAGCATTCCAGTTTCTTTAAAAACAAAACAAGATTGTTTTCTGTCAATTCCACGATCACTTCGACAGTTTGTCGGCTTGTGACCCGCTACTTCTGCTGGAACGCAACGTCTAGTCTTGTCTGTTCGCCAGTGAGTACCGTGCGCGTCTCTGTGTTTAGGGCATACCGTCATGTGTAACTGACATTCCTGTGCGATGAAAATCCCTGGTAAAGAAAACTTAATTAGCAAATTAATGCTGTAGAAGTGAATAGTGCGTATGTATTCATATTGTAATCGAAAATTGTAAATCAAAATGATATTTACTAACCTGCCCGTGTGAGTAATAATTTCCTTTCGTTGTTGACGCTTTCAACATTCGTCAAAATGTTACAACTCTTCAGGTGAGCTGTAACATCCCTAGTACAGTCTTTCAATTCGACAAAGTCAGCCACGTTTGGATTTTCAGAACTTGCACCACAAGCCCCCCCAAGAAGAGAAGCAAAGCTACAGAATGACATCGTTTTCTTTTTATGCTCTGTGAAAAACCTCGCACGTATTTACCTTTAAGAAAAAGACGGTGATTGCATCGTACAAAATTATCGCCCAGACTGCAACATGGCATGACTGCTAACGTGACTTAAGTCCTTTTTATCAAGTTTTATGACAGAAATGTGGCCATTTTTCAGAAAAAGATAAGAGTAAACAGCAACAAAAAAAAAAAAAGTTGGGCTGCTATAAATTAAGGACCTTGAGGTGAAAAACTACACAGCAGAAGCTTGCGGTGTTGCGTGACTTTGTTTACTAACATAACTTTTTTCAAGATATCCAAGATATATCACAAGAAATATTGCAGTTGCAGAAAACGTTGCTATTCGACTAAGAATGATGTCGATAATAAACACCTAGTCAACAAAAATGGTGAACTATACAGCGGCCTTTCTCTATAGGTGTAGTGCTGT